CGTCCCCTGGGCCGACCGGTGTTCGCACGCGGCCTGCGCCGCGGCGGTAAAGACGTCGAGCGAGACGACCTCCGCCTCGTGAATGCCCTCCGCGTAGCGCCGCTTCCGCGTGCCCTCGCGCGACCCCACGACCAGGTAGGTCGTCGACAGGCACAGGGTCACGAGCGTCTGGGCGCCCGCGCGGTGCGCGAGCTCCATGGCCTCGCGCCGCTCGGTCTCGTACGCGAGGCCCGTGAACGTGAAGAAGGAGTTCGGCCCGAAAACGATCACCGTCGTGCCGACGGCCGCCGAGTTGGAGACATCCATGGTGGACTCCACGGACAGCTCCATCAAATCCGAGTCCGGCGTCACGACAGCGACGGCGCGGCGCGACCGCATGCGAGTGACGACCCCCTCGGGCTGCTCCGCGTGGCGCGCGGCCTCCGCGAGCTCGGCGTCGTCCGCCTCGCCGTCGCTCAGCGCGTACGCGGGCGGTGCGTCGTCGTCGTCGTCGTTCTCGAACGACACGAAGGAATCGCTCGCCGCCGCGAGGTCGGCGACCGCGCGCGCGCGCGCGGCGGCGTGATCAAGAAGGCGCTGCGCGACCACTAAGTTGTCTTGCGCGACGAGCGCGACGAGTGACGCGGATAACCGCTTCGCAGCGTCACTAAGCGTCGCGCCTTCGAGCAAGCGCGCGAGGTCGTTGATGGTTTTGACGTCGCAAGCGCTGGGGCAGATGTTCGTCTGCGGCGCGGGGCTCACGAGCGCCGCATGTGGTGTGTGTGAAGATTGTACAGTTTTGGAAGAAGCGTCGAGTTCCATGGCGGCAGGTTGCGTCGAGCGCCTCGTCGAGACCATCGTGTAGCGGTAACGTCGCGATCGAGCACACACCCAAACCTTTGGGTGGTGAACACCCGATTAGCCCTCGATGGGCCTCAAAGCGGCGCGTAGGCCGCGGTAGCCGAAGGAAAAACGGCCCCGGCCGCGGCGCATGTACCCCACGAGGGCGCGGAGCCGTTCCAACCGTTCGTGATGGCGACTTCGCGGCTCAAAACGGTCGCGTGACAGCGGTAGGCGGCCCACGCTCTCAGAGGCCCGAGTGCGGACTCGTCGGAAACGCTGCTTCTGGCTCGTTTGGGGCGTGTGCGGGTCCTTAGTGATGGTATAAGAGATTCCGCGTGCTTGGTTCGATGCGTGCGGGCCCAAAACGTGACTGCGCGCGCGGCCGAAGCTCGGCGCCGACGACATTCCCGACGCGTTGACCGCGGGCATCCGGAGCGCCACACGTGCGAGGCGCTGGCCACATCCCTCCGGTGGGTCATATACTCGGTCCGGAAGCGTCGTGTGACCTCGGAAAACGTGTTGAAGTCGTGGATCGCGGACCCCATACACTGCAGCCCTACCGAATGATCTCTGCCGCTGCGATTCTCGTCACCAACGTCCACGGCGACGAGCCCGAGCACACCATCGTCGTCGTATGAGATCTACGTGGCCTCCGGCTAGAAATTTCCAGCGACAACGACATTTTGACCCGTC